TCTGCATCTATGCTGGCTTATTGAAGCCTAATAAACCTTCCCCTCCTACATAATTACTTTTGAAATTCAATGTTGTGTTGCCCCAGTCCACACCCTTCTCCCCGTTACACTCTTGCACACACATTTCCCCCCTTTTGTAATTAAAATGGAAAAATCTGTGCATTAGTTTTCTTTACACATTATACAATAACAGAGAAATTAATTAAGAGGTCTATATTTCTATTTCAAGGTTCAAATGTTTTCAATGAGTAGAACGTGCTCTGGAAAATCTGCAGCATCAGCTGAGTCGCTTGCTTTCCAAATGCAATCAGCAAGCCCTCTTCTTCCCTTGATTACTGTAAGTGGATGTGATTCGCCAACAGATCCTGAAGTTCAGCAGAGCTCCAAACCAAAGTCATCTTTGGATGTCAGGTACTGGCCATCTCTGGCTTCCTGGGAATCTAGTCAGGGTGATTTACATCAGTGGTGCCATGCACTTATACTTCCATGTTTATTTGCGACTATGAGTTTTGGTGCATGATTAATACTCACCATAATACGTTAAGTACCACGATCCCCTGCAAAAGCAGTCATGCAATGCCTCCAAAGGAATAGTGGTACCTCAGGTTACATACGCCTCAGGTTACATACGCTTCAGGTTACAGACTCCGCTAACCCATAAATAGTGCTTCAGGTTAAGAACTTTGCTTCAGGATGAAAACAGAAATCGTGCTCTGGCAGCGCGGTGGCAGCAGTAGGCCCCATTAGCTAAAGTGGTGCTTCAGGTTAAGAACCATTTCAGGTTAAGAACGGACCTCCAGAACGAATTAAGCACTTAACCCGAGGTACCACTGTAGTTGTGTGTGTGTGTGTGTGTGTGTGTGTGCTCCCTGTTCTTTCATTTTGAAGATGAGCCACCTAACATCACAGTAGCATCAGGTGATTGGCAGGGGTGGTGAGTGATGATGCTCAGGATCAGCCTTCTTGCTGGATTCTATTCCCCACCCCCTGAAAGAACTAGGAATAGGAGTGGGTTAGGTCAAAATTGGATTGCCTGAGAAATAAATCCTGATCCGGGTGATGCTCTGAATGTATGGGGGCTAAAAATGGGGAAAGACAAGCCCCTGTCCCCATGACTCCTTGCATGCCAGCTCTGGGAGGGAATATCTGAAGAGGGATGCCTTGTTAGGACTCCTGGTGGCAGGGAGGTTTCTAAAGGTGTTTAGCTGAATGTGCTTAAGGATTCACTTTCAGACCTTCCCCTGGGACACGAGATATGAAACAGGGGCTTGTGTGCACCACCCTCCCCCCTCTGTTCACTTTGAACACCAGAGGAGGGCTATTAGAGATGCTCACTAGGGATCACCTTGCCAACAAAGGCCCATATAGTTAAAGCTATGGTTTTCCCAGTAGTGATGTATGGAAGTGAGAGCTGGACCATAAAGAAGGCTGATCACCAAAGAATTGATGCTTTTGAATTATGGTGCTGGAGAAGACTCTTGAGAGTCCCATGGACTGCAAGAAGATCAAACCTATCCATTCTGAAGGAAATCAGCCCTGAGTGCTCATTGGAAGGACAGATCCTGAAGCTGAGGCTCTAATTCTTTGGCCACCTCCTGAGAAGAGAAGATTCCCTGGAAAAGACCCTGATGTTGGGAAAGATGGAGGGCACAAGAAGAAGGGGACGGCGGAGGATGAGATGGTTGGACAGTGTTCTCGAAGCTACCAGCATGAGTTTGACCAAACTGCGGGAAGCAGTGGAAGACAAGAGTGCCTGGCATGCTCTGGTCCATGGGCTCATTAAGAGTCGGACATGACTAAACAACAAAGGGATCAAAGATAATGCAGTACATTGATATTTATTAAAAATCTCAAGAGAGGCCATGCTTTGTTTTCTTTTCCACACTGAGGCACCAGACACAGTTTGGCTGCTCCCACGAACAGGTCAGACGTGGGTTTAGGGGAGCACCACTGGTTCAGTTGCACTGGGCGTGGAGCCTCAGGGGCCCCACAACTATGATGTAGAGTAGAAAGCAAGAGGCGATGGGGCGAGCGCCAAATTTTGGCATTGCACACAGCAATAATCTGTCCCATTCCCCAGCACTTTAAGGCTTTATACCTTTTGCACTGGGTAAAAGCCCTGGAGAGGAGGGGACTCAGGCAGCTGCAGGGAGCAGGGGACTTTGGGCAACTGATTTTCATGGAGGAAGAGCTCCGGGAATGAGTTCCTATGCTCACGAGGCCTGGCACATAAGGAGACTGTGTTTTTGCTAACTCCATATTTGAAATGCATGATTACGGAACAGCAGTGCTTCTGTGGCACCATCGTTCCCAATGGAAGAGAAATTGGCTGCATTAAGTGCGGGACTGGAATCGTTTTCCTTCTGGCTTGTTTTGGTAGGGGTGTTGTTGGGGAACTGGGAAAGCAATGGCGTTTTCAGACCTGTGTATTTCTCAAGTCTACCCATGGCATGCCTCCAGTCTGCCCCCTGCTGCACAAAGTCCAGGGTCAGTAGCGCAAAGGCCATGGATGTTCTCATGGGGGGCAGGGAAGAGGCATCTCTCTCTTCACTGTCAGAGAGGGAGACCCGATGTTTCCTAGGGGTCCTGGTTGCAGGGTTAGTGGCAGACCAGCCCCTCTCTCTTAGCCTTACTCTCCCCATCTACAAGTGGAGACAGTAATGTGTCCTACCTCACTGTGCCCTTGTTACATGTGAATTGCTTTGAACTCTCTCAGTGTTTTTCAACCACTGTTCCACGGCACACTAGATGTTGCCTGGTGTGCCGTGGGAAAAATTGAAAAATTCGAAAGATTTTAAAAAACAAATAAATGTCAAATTTTCGCCCACTAGGCGGGAGCCGGACTGTGTCCTGGGTATGGGGGGGGGTTGACCCCACCCTCGGCCAGCAGGGGCGCCGATTGGTGCTCCTCAGGGGGACACCCTCCACTTTTCTGATGTCCGGACTGTGATTGGTCCAGACTCCAGCCTGGACCTATCACAGTAGGACATCATCTTCCGAATTCCTTCCCGCCTGAGCACAGTGTGCGCAGCAGCGGAGAGAAGAAGACGTCGCGACTCGAGTCACCAGGAGGACCGGAGCAGGAGGAGACGGACGGAGACCAGGACTCGGCGGGAGTCGGCACTGCAGAGAGACCGCATCCGGATCCAGACCAGGCCGCAGGTGCAGCGTGAGGTGAGGAGGTCATCTGGAACCAGTCGGTCATGGCCGGGTCTCGGAAGAGAGACGAGTGAGTCCAGCGCTGTGCAGCAGCAGCAGCCCGGTAAGTTTATATATAGTCAATATAGGCACAGAGTTAAATTTTTTAACACTTTCTAATGGTGGTGTGCCTCGTGATTTTTTTCATGAAACAAGTGTGCCTTTGCCCCAAAAAGGTTGAAAAACACTGCTCTAGATGGTGTCATCATTATGTACAGAAAATGCTAAAGCTGCTCTAGGAATAAATAATTTTGGGGGGAGGGGGAAACAGTGTTAACGACACCATTTGCTATAAAAAGACAGGTGTGCCGAACTCCTGATTGCCCATTTGCATTTCCTCTAATAATGACAATAAATTTATTTTTCATCTGCTGTTGGAGGGTGGGGGTGGGGTGGAAACGGGCTCTTTAAAAGAATAATCACTTTCAGACACTCTATGGCAAACAGCAAGATTCGCACAGAATCCTTTTACAGCATTACTCCTGACAGCTTACAACCCAGACTATTAAACATTCATCAATAAAAATTTAACATCCCATCTTCTCTTTGATATCCTCAACTGCTCGCTACGGAAGACAACAAGGCTTTCCACAGCTCAGTGTGATGGCAGGACATCAAAGCAGCCTCCGCAGCTAGCCCACTTCGAACTGTTTCGTGTGTTTAGAAAGTGGAGTTGTCACTTGGGATCACAGAGAGTAACGCAAAAGCTTTTGCGCCGGCTCGTCTGTATCTATAATCCATCATCCCAAGGCATCTGGCGTGCCCATATTGTGCCTGTGCTGTGACTTGCAAAACTTGTTTCTCGTGATAACCATCCTGCAGTCAATCTTGCAGCAGCAGGGGGAAAATAAATGAGCCGGGCTCCTCTCCCACCTGCCCGTCTCCTTAAGGGTTAAGAGCAGGACCAGAAGCAATGCTGAAACACAGGAGCGCTGGTGAAAATGGCAACGCACAAAGTGATGTCATTACCCTGGGTGGCTTCTGATTGCTGCTCCACGTCATTGATTGCTGCCGGGAGAGAGGAGCAAAGTGTTCGATTTGTTTGTGTGCTTCAAAGATTACTATACTTGCTGGATAGCTCAGTTAGTTAGAGTGTGGTGCTGATAATGCCAAGGTTGCAGGTTTCATCCCTGTATGAGACAGCTGCATATTCTCACCTTGCAGAGGGGTGGACTTGATGATCCTCCGGATTCCTTCCAACTCAACAATTCTATGATTCTATTATCCTTCTTTCATCTGTGCACATGCACAAGATTTTTTTCCAAATGAGATTCCCCCCTCCCCAAGTGAGACCTGTAGGTATAGGATGGTATACAAATTTAGCCAATACTCCCAATGAACAACTGTGCCAGCATATTTTTATATTTTTATATCTAGCATCTGAGAATAGGTCTACTATTTCAGGTAGGCTGGGTGATGGTGAGGCTTAGGTTGACCTGGCCTCTGAGAAACTTGTAATCCAGATCTCCCCCTCTGTTGTTTGCTGATCAGAAGGTTGGCGGTTAGAATCCCCATGATGGAGTGAGCTCCCATTGTTCTGTCACAGCTCCTGCCAACCTAGCAGTTTGAAAGCATATCAGTGCGAGTAGATAAATAGGTACCACTGCGGCGGGAAGGTAAACAGCTTTTCCGTGTGCTCTGGCTTCCGCCATGGTGTTTTGTTGCGCCAGAAGCGGTTTAGTCCTGCTGCTCACATGACCCAGGGAGCAGACAAACGTCAGCTCCCTCAGCCTGAAAGCGCGATGAGCACTGCAATCCTATAGTTCCCTTTGACCGGACTTAACTGTCCAGGGGTACTTTACCTTATTTCAGTGAATAGATGTGCAGCCCATCTACAAGTAGACCTGGTATCCAGATGATACATGGCCACCAACCATTGAAATCTTCAGTTCTTTCCCCAACACCTTTCATCTTCTGCAGCCCTTAATTAATCCCGCTGCTGTTACAATCATTTCTGCAGCAACCCCTCCTTCCAACAGCACTGCATTTCCCTAAAACAACAACAGCAACACTCCCATCAATACACCAGATAACTATAGTGGAGTATATTTCGGCATTGAAATGTATAACAGTACTCGGACTACCCCTCTTCCCCCAGCAAAATAGGTATAACAGCGAACCTGGGGTTGTTCTGCAGGGCTCTCATCTCTAAGCCATAGTTCCACCTCCTGTGGTATGGGTAAAATAAGAATGAACTTGGCACTGAAGGGACAAGATACCCAAATCCTGTCTGAAATCACCCCAGGCTTCAATAATCAACCAGGCGTCAAAACTGTCCAAAACTCCTTTTGTCTTCTAAAAATCCAAAACAGCTTTTCTCTGCTCTTCTCTGCTTTTCTCACAAGATGCTGTGGCAAAAGGCAAAATGTTACTTTTAAAGGCTAATGAATAGACTCTGTCATTGCCAAGAATACTCAGGCCTGAGAAACGAATCTTATCTCATTCAGTTGCAACACCTTTGGACATGTTGAACCGTTCTCATCCCCCTTTCCTGGGAAGGGTGCCAAGAGTCCACAATAGTCCCAAGACAGCTTTCTGTTCATGCTCAGAGGAACCTCAACATGGGGCAGGACTCCTGAGGGAGGAGAAAGGAGGAGGGAACTGGAATGGGGTATATATGCTTGTGCACATGACTGTGAACTTCGTGCATGCTTTTTGTGACTTATCACACTTGCTCCTTCTACCAGTTCATGGATGGTAGAAATAAAACCTTTTTCTCCGAAACTATTCCTTGAGTGTCTGTTGACTCCCACTTCCCTTTCCCAGGCGCAATATTTTTCACACCCGAGGGCAAAGCCTCATAAGGCTACAGCACTGGTAGGGCAATTGTGAAAATGTTTTCCTATTGGCTCTTTCCTTTCCTTTTGTCTTCCTACTGGCTCATCACTCCAGGAGATTTTCTGGTCAGCAAACTGGCCTGGTTTATATATTAACATTTGCCTGGATTAAATTCCAACCCCTACTGGGTCCAGGAATTTAGGGGAGTGTGGTACCCACAAACTCATTTTTTGTTGTTTAGTCGTTTAGTCGTGTCCGACTCTTTGTGACCCCATGGACCAGAGCACGCCAGGCACTCCTTTCTTCCACTGCCTCCCGCATATGTTATATGTTAATATGTTACTGGGAGAGGATTGGAAATTGGAAGTGTTTTTAAGGCTATATTGCCGCCTGCCTTGAAATAACTATGTTTGTCTAAAAATCTCAAGTGGAGAATATTAGGTAGAACCCAGTTATTCCATAACTCTTTTGCTTTAACCTATTCGTTGACCATTTCATCCATCAATGACTAAAGGGCTGCAGAATATCCATACAGCTTTATACATGATTAATTGGACGTTTTGCAGGATGCCATTTGATTTTGTAAAGGTTGTATTTTGACATGCATTTAACCGGTTAACTGGCCAAGTAATTAATGTTCATCCTCTAAATTTGTTTAGCTAGCCAGAGACCAAAGGCAGCTCCTTTTGGTTCTACAGAGTTCCACACTTTCTCTCTCTCTTGTACAATACAGGCCTCCCCAGGTTGTCTCAGGTTTCTGTAAGAGAACAAGTGTTCTGACTTGGAAAGTCAAGGGATGAAAACAGCAGTGGCTGGTGTCGAGTGGTAAAAAGACACAGCACCACCCTTCTGATACCAGCCTTGCTGCAGTTTTCTTGGACAGGGCTTGGGTGGGACAAGGTGGAAGTGAAGTTGGGGCTGCATGGACTATTGAACTGATTCTGCTGGGGCACCTGTGCAGCCCTGAACTCACCTGGCCACTTCCCTGCCCCAACCCTTTCCAGGTTGGCTGCAGTGATACAGGTACTGGGAGGATATTTCCAGGCCCTCAAAGTGTGCCTATTTTCGAGGGACAGTTGTGCATTTAAAGAAACCATCTCTGTTTCTGATTTGATCCTGGAACGTCCCGCTTTTCCTTAGGATGTTCCTATTTACATCAGAGAAATCTTGGAGGATATGGAGTCATGAAACCCTCCAAGACAAGGAGATAAGTAGCTATACAACCTTTAGAAGACACCCAAAGGCAGCCCTGTATAGTGAAGTTTTTTGTGTTTGATGTTTTTGTATGTTTTTATATATGTTGGAAGCTGCCCAGAATGGCGGGGCAACCCAGTCAGATAGGCGGGGTATAAATAATAAAATTATTATTATTATTATTATGGAATAGGATGTACTTATTTTCATCAGAGAAATGTTGGAGCATCTGGATTTCTACATCTCCACCCTTCACCCCACCACCAGAACTTAAATGTCAACAAAGAGCTTTTGCACTGTGGGAATCCATCTTGAACTCCAAAGTTATTTAGAGATGATCGCACAAGTTGCATGTAGGGAGCTATTTAATGTGAACATCATCAGCATGTTTTCCTGGCTTTGAAAATGTGTTATCATTGCCACATACTTCTCAGCATCAACTCTTTTCCTTGATTCATGTAAACTGTGCTGGCAATTATTAAAGAGTTCAGCCTAATTAATGAACGGCTTTGCTTATTTCAAGAATTAGGCAAAGCTGTTGCTGCTTTCCTTCAGACTACAGCTATGGGGGCATATGAGGCCTACACAAATAATCCATGGCGTAATTTGAGGTACATTTATTTTTTCATGAAATGAAATTGACAATGTGATTATGCACATCCTGACAGTGTTCAGACACAGAGCTGGGTGCATTCCAGGTGTGTTTACAATGAATTAAGTCAAAATCTGTATTTTCTTTTCCTCTTTCCATAGAACTTTCTCTGATTGCGAAGGCTGACCAAGAACAGTGGGGACACCTGTCCTTCAAAAAACCACTAGTCACTCAAAGGCAGTGCCAAATGAGGACCTTTACAACATTTGGTGAAGAAAACCCCAATTTTCACGAAGCCCCAGAAAACGACTCTTCAGTGCCCTAACCTGCGATGTCAAGATTTCGCCGAAAACCTGACACCATCCCATTCAATCCAAAGGGGCCCAAACGTGGGCACTAGGCCCCCTGCACTGTTTGGCAGTGAAAACCTCACATTTCACAGTGCCCTACAAACTGAGACCTTGGCACAGAAACCAGCGGGGGCAAGATTTCACCAAAAACCTTGTTGCATCCTATTCACTCAAAAGCGGCGGCAAATGCCTGCAGAAGCCTGTCTACAATGTTTTGTGATGAAAACCCCACATTCAACGGTGCCGCAGAAAATGAGCACTTGATGTCCTAACCTGCGGGGTTAAGATGTCGCCGAAAATCTGACACCGTCCAATTCGCTCTCAAGAAGAGCCAAATGCCAGAATAAAGACCCCCGCAACGTTTGAGCCTTTGGCGCCATAACCCGCAGGGTCAAGATTTCGCTGAAAACCCGGCACATTTAATGGTGCCCCAGAAAACAAGCCCTCTATGCCCTAACCTGCAGGGGTCAAGATTTTGGCTAAAACCCCATGTTGTCCAATTAACTCCAAAACAGCACCAAATGCTGTCACAAGCCCCCCTGAAATGTTTGGCGGTGAAAACCCCACATTTCATGGCACCCCACAAAACGAGCCCTCGGCACCCTGACCACCAGGCCTGGCCAGGACGGCTTTCCTGTTACAGCTTCTGGGCTTGACTAGGCATCTGACCCTCACCTGAGCCTACTCCAGCTGAGGAATCACACACCTACTCCCTAAGCTAGTGAGCCCCACCTGGGCTGTGGGCCTGCATCCAGGCCAGGCCAGGCTAATGCCAGAACAAGGAACCCTGCAACTTATTCACACTGATATATACGGTCCAATTCAACCAATGCTTCATGGGGGAAACAACAACAAAAGACCCCTCTGAAATGAACCTCATTTTTCCTTTGCTTTCAACTGCTCTCAGTCTTATTTGTCTCCATGTTGCCATTTCATCAAACGTTAAGAGTAAACCTAAAGGTAAACCCTTAAAGAGAAAGCCTAATGAATGCTGGATTGTACATTTTAGCCGCTAAGTTGTAGACTGCCAGGAACAGGTCAAGAGGGAAAAGAAAACATTTTGAAAACAGATATGACTGCTTTTTGGGGAGCAAGAAAAACACACAATCAAAATACAGAGTTTTTTATCTCTGACATAATGGAGTGCCAATCTTCACCAGAGAGACTCACTTCTAAGCACGGACTGAATGTTGATGCAATAAGGAAACTCTTTGCTTACTCCTTGGTGGGGCCAGCTCTCAGTTTAATGCATCACTGAAACCAACCTTCTTGCAGTATTTATATTAAATGATTTAAAAGCAAGCTTCCCCCTGTGTCTCCTAAAAAGTAAGTCTTACTGAATTAATGGGACTTGCTCCTAGGTAAATGCAGACCCTCCAGTGTCCCTATTTTCTAGGGACAGTCCCAGATTTGCAGAAGCCATCCCAGTTTCTGATTCGATCCCGGGATGTCCCGCTTTTACTTAGGATGTCCTTATTTTCATCAGAGAAATGTTGAGGGGTATGGAGTTATGCGACCCCTGAGCCAAGGAGATAAGTAACTATACAACCATTAGAAGACAGCTGAAGGCAACCCTGTATAGGGAGGGTTAAAAAAATGTTTAACGTTTTATTATGCTTTTATATATGTTGAAAGCTGCCCAGCAGATGTATGGCCAGATGGGCAGGAAATAATAATAATAATAATAATAATAATAATAATAATAATAATAATAATGGAATAGGACAACCCTATTTCATCAGAGAAATGGTGGGCAGTTTGTAAATGGGGTAAGGATTGCAGCTTAAGTCCCCAACACTCCATTTCATTCGAGTGGTAAAGAAGCTGTACATGGATAGGAAGAATCAACTGAGCCATGAAGCACTTTCAGTCTCTCCCAACTGATATAACTATGATTAAACCCAATGGTGGCTGCAAATTCACTTTTGCAGGGGGAAATGAAATGCTGCCTGACTGCAGGACCTGCTGCTCACCCACCCCTAGGGGAGTGGACTGCAATGCAGAACCAGAGCAGATGTTTTGCTGGTATAGGGTCCGAGGCTCAAGTCCTTGGTACCTTCCAGTTAAACGACTATCAGGCAGCAGGGCAAAACAGCAACAACCTTGGAGAGTTCCTGTGTCCATCAACTCCATCAGAGGAACAAACTCTGTTGTAAAGCTTCACATGGCTCATGGTAGCTTGTGCCTTAATACATCGGTGTATGGAAGGGGTACCTCAAATGCATGTACAGTGGTCCCTCAGTTTTCGAATGTCTCTATTGATGAACATTTCGATTTTCAAACGCCGTAAACCCGGAAGTAAATGCTTCGGTTTTCGAACGCGTCTCGGAAGTTGTACAGGAAACACGGCTTCTGTATTGAGTTTTCCGTTTTGAGTTTTCCGTTTTGAGGCTTCCATACTGAATTTTCGGTTTTCAAACAATTCGTTCTTCCAGAACAGATTACTTT